TTACATACAGTACCAACGTATAGCAAAACTACAACACGAATTTCATACACAATTCCAATTCGTATCAAATAACAAACAATTTTGTTCGTTGGTAGAAACAAGAATATTCTTCTTTCGGTTATGCAGATTCGTTATGGACCCAGAAGAACTTATTGAGATACTAGACGTGATCTACTGCGTACAGAATCGAAGATATGGTAACAGCATGACTACTCTAATCTATCATTCTGTTTTGTAGAAAGTAGGTAGAAATTCGGGGTAAATAAAAGATGTCGACCCATAATATATACTACAGATGAATAAAAAATATTAGGATACATACTTCTTAAAGATGAAAATAGGAAGGCTCAGTAGTCCCTGCATCTAATAATGACGCAATTAAATCGTGTCTGACGAAAAACTCCACGCATTCTACAATCATAACTAGAACAATTATTATATGGTGGTATTATAAGTTATTCCGCGTAGCATTTTGGCCACGTACAACCAAAACAGTGTCTCCATCTTCAGGACTGAAGACAGAATCACTGTGTTCCTTGATCTGAGTTCTTCATTAGGACGAGAAGCCACATTTCAGTGGTTAAATTATGGTTTCGTATGATTTAATCTGTAAATTTATAGATAGGTGGTGTGATGATAGATTCCTATCTGGATGTAGCAATCATTTCACCGGAACTTCATAGAGGTTCCAATGATGAATATCCCCTTGACATAATATGTTCTTTTAGCACGGGGAAATTAATGTAGGCCTGTACATTTATAGCTATTTACGTAAGTTAGTGTTTCTCGACCAGTGAATCGCGAACCTCTGGGCGCCAAGAAACACAATGAATGAGATGAGGACACGCCTCTGAAACAGAGAATGCAGTTACACCGGTAAAGAAGGGAACTCAGTGTGCTAGAGTACTGAGAGGGTAGCAGTGCATTCTTATTTAATTTCCGCTCACTCTGGTGTAGAACAGACTAAGAAAAGGGTTGAAAAACACCGCAGAAAGTAACAAATTATCCCTCTGTTACATAATTTTACACAGGCCTCAATACATCAACGAGTTGAAACGTATAAGTCCGACCTGGAAGATAGGAATTCTATTCTCACCACCGCTTCGTAAGTAGTTCTAGAATGCTCTTACCTACTTTCTGATTGACACCCAGAGAGAAAAACTGACAGCTAACCTTCATCGAATGCCAAATTGTAAGATCTTTACCTTCAAGTCTTTATACGCCATAGTGTTCCTTAGACACAATAACAGTGTAAACTTTAATTTTTCCATGTTTCCTACAAAATTTGTTCCCGCTTTTGTAGTTTCAATCCATATTCAAATACGTTGATTAATTTTCGTTACGAAATTGGAACTACTTCGAAATATCATAAAGATATCTTGAACGTAAGGCATTTATTTCATAACTATAGTTTTCCATTTTAAGACATGCATTCTAAACTGTAACTCATATCCAAAAATTCCTCGTGGTTGCCAATTAGGAACACATGGAGATAAGAATTTATAAAATATGGCGTCGAGATGATCTCTAATCGAATGTCCTTACATCAAAGGTAACTGAAAAATTCGTTCAATACTTATATTTCACACTAATAACAGTTCATGAACATGTACATATAACCTAATATTAATTATTACGCGTTTATGTTTGTTAAAGCAGGCGGCACATGTAGTTACCATTGCAATTTTATGTGTCAACTAAAACTACTTTTTCTTTAATTTCTGATTTCATTCATTCTTAAAAGTTATTTTCAGAGCAGAACCTACATGTTAGGAATGAAACAGATATTACTTAGGCAGCTAATGTTGCAGATAAGAGGTAGAGTATTATTTTAATATAACGCATCAAAGTACACAATTCGTGCTTGGTAAGCCTAATGGTACGTCCTTTGTAGGTGTCCTGGCAGGACATTTAGATGCAAGAGATTGTAATGCTCAGGGTACACATAATGATTACGACTGTTGAATCGTAATATCAAATTCGATATTCCGACATTTATAGTTTTTATAGACATATACACATTTATGATGTGATCTGCCCTTGCTAAGAAAAGCTTACACGCGTTGATATTTTATTAACAATATCACTGTGCGCCGGCGACCTGTTTTAAATAAACAGCGAATCCACTAGATGTAATGGTTATTGTCCGTGTCCGTATGATAATTAACGACTTTTCGGAGGAACTATATCATTTCTAGGGTCGATCTACGAAGAGCTGATACAGTAGGGTCGACCATGAAGAAGGTATAAACTTGCTACGAAACATGAGATTTGACCTTATCACGGCGGTGAAAATGTCGAAGCTGTTCTCGTGGGTCGTGTCCGTATGATAATTAACGACTTTTCGGAGGAACTATATCACGGCGATGAAAATGTCGAAGCTGTTCTCGTGGGTTTCGTTTATGTGAACTAGAATTTATGCCCCAACGTTTTGGAGAAAGATACTATCCCAATCTTCAGGGCTGATAAATAAATTACACAATTTCTTCCATTGAGGTAGCCAGAACTATAATGAATATGCAGAGCCGTAACAGTTCCCAAAGTCTCAATAATAGAATTTACGTTACACTGACCACTTATAGGCTGATTGCTTAACTGAAGAGTGTTCTAGCCTCGTCCCATTACAAATAACAAGAAATGACAACATGTTTACACAGACTGTGTTAATAAACGAGAGTCAAGGTTCGTGCAGTACCTACTGCCGTTACCAACGTTAAAACGTTACCAGACATTTTGCGATAAATTTAAAACATATTCATGTATATTTTACCACAAGTTAGATGTCATGCCTGTTTCAGTATAAGAATTTTAGTTTTTCTGACCATCATCTTTCAATTCCTTTCAGGATTACTTACTCCTCTCGAACGCTTAGGCCTGTAGTTTGAGTCGGTATTTTTTCATTCTGTTCTAAAGAAGCTTCAAATGATCTCTGTGTTCTTATATTATTTCATTATAAATTGAACAGTTGTGCATCTTGTTCTACAAAGTGCCGTAAAGAATTTAAGTACTGTGATTCTTTCTCAAACAGTATTGGTTAAAAAAGCTCCTCCGTTTTCGGAGAATGTAATGCGGTCGCTATTGTGATACGAAACTTCCATCTTGTCGATACCGGTCTTCTGAGTGTGCAGTTGTAGGCAGAACGCCGTGTTTTGGATAAACAAATAATCAACATATAAGTTCTAATGACATTGTTTCTTAGAAGACCAACTTTGGCATCTTTACCGCCGTGAGAATCTCAACTCTCTTATCTTCATCTTAGATTAATTTGTAACAACCTAACAATATCATTTCTCTTTATGAGTTTAATGGCTTAATGCCTATTCTGTCGTCAGTAACCTGTCTCAAACGTCTCCTTGACTTTTGCCTTACCTGTTGAAAGGTTGATTCCATGTTATTTTCAACCTAGTATAATTGGGAGACATTGTGTAGTATTGGCCGCATTGTCGATGTTTCGATGATCATTACTGTCTCCATCTTCAAGACAAAATGATTACCTAAAGGTAGTGCCAGGAGCCAGTGGGTGGCTAACTGCGTCTTGAAGATGAAAATTGTAATGATTTTTTTAAACAGTGGTAAAAGAACCTAATTCTATACACTGCCAGTAGCTACAAACAGTTTTCACCCGTGTTCTAAACCGCTGCGAAAACTTTAAATATTCTAATATGTGCAAGTTACAAAATCGATTAAAGCCGAACAGCTTGCCTCTCCCGATCCCGTGGACCACAGCATCGAAAATCTAAGTTGCCATTGTACCAGGAACGTCGCGTACAGTCCTTAGCACACATGAATCTACAGGAACAAATGTCTAATAATGTGAGGCCCATCTTATAGCACACAAAGCACGCTGCCTAGAAACAGCATTTCTTTCTGTTCCTTTCGAATCCTTTTGTCTAAAAGTCCGAGTACGTCGCCCCCCTGCCCACACCGAGACATCCCCGTGATGTCACGTCTGGAGGGGGAGCGGAAAAAGACGTGCCCCGAAATCGGATATCAAAATTGTTTTCTCGAGTGGCCCTGTGAACGTGCGATATTGGCGTATATTAGCACTTCTGATCAATAGAAGAACACATGCCACAGTAATTTTATAAAGAGTTTACACTGTGACATTTTGGTGACATGCAACCACAGGTAATATTTTTTTTATGATGAGGGTATTTCGACACGAGGACAAAAGTAACTTCCTAATTACGTCTCTGAAAATTCCGTACAACACGGAAGCCAACTGCACCCAAAACAATCATGCGATAACTACAAGCGAAAAGGTAATATCGATATCGCAAAATAAAATAGTTTCCTGCTTGATGCTTCTTGTTTAGATGTGAACACGACATGCCAACATTGACACCCAGTTTGCATTTAATTTACCGCAACGATAACAAATGATCGGCATGATTGATTTTTGCAACTCACCTTCGTAATAGGCCCAATAAAAATAATGATTCCGTGCTACAGTGAACATTGCTTAGTGTAATAAATTGATTAATTTACTTTTAGGAAAGGAATAAGCCTACATCTCATAAACAATTCAGTTCTTAATATTCTGAAACATCTTATTTATTATCATCATTAGATTGGGCTATTATTTCAGCATTATGCATTATTTGAAATTTAAATTAGAGTAATTATTAAATAATTACGAATATCACTACGTTTATGAGCCTGTACCCCTTCAGGCAGTAACACAAGGAATGTATAATGCGACCTTTATGGGAAAAGTTAGGCAAAGCTGTTCTCCATTAAGGGACACGAAACATTTGGAATTTTTAAAATGATAAAGAACAGCAACAAATGTCCTGTGGGACGTGGAAACAATATTAATCTACCACAAAATTATGGCGAGTAAACATTTTAGACAACAGAATATATTGCATGATAGAATTATTTTCTGGAAACCAAGGATAAAATAAAATATGGTCAACAGAAATAGATTCCGTTTACAAGGACAGTCAAACAAAAAGAAAAACAATAATGACAACTCATTTATCATCCAAAGTCCTTACCTTGCTCATCGCCTGGTGATGTCGAATGGACTCTCTCCTGGTGCTGATACCGCTGATGGTGGTAGTGGCGCTGCTGGTGAACAAATCTGGAAGCAGAACAAAAGGTGCCAGAGCGTGAGACAAATTGCCGAGATTTTCTCTCACCCCACCCCTCTTACAAGTACGACATTTACATTTTATAAAGGTGTCTTGTCTACCCCTTCTCCTCTTCCAACCTCATTTTCCATTCTCTCTTCATTAAAATAATCTAACTTGAATCCGTGATATTTGATTTATAAGGCTAGTAAGCACTTTTAATCCTCGGTTCCTAAACACAGATCCCATGAAATAACAGAGCTCATTAACAACTCAACACCCTTCATGTAGATGCAATTCCATACACGGAAGATATTCCTTAACTAATATCGGGTTTAATTGTAACATAATTAAACAGGTACACCTTTCAGGAAAGAGAATTTCATTCGACGTCGACCAAATCAACAGTACGTCCGACGGAATGGAACGTGGTGAATCGCGGAAAAAGATTGAGAGAGTAGAAGGATGTTTAAATATTATGTTTGAACTACGAGGGCGTTTGATAATTGGATTAAAAGAGAGCTTCAGCTTAAAATTATTAATTAGATGCATCTATAATTCATTGGAATCACAGATTTTAACGTCCTCTGTGGACTTAAAACACTTTTCTCGGTATGGCCATTAATGCAGAATACGAGAAAATTTACCTGATTTATACTAACAGCTGTTTTTGTCAGTATTGTACAGCTCGGGATCATTATAAAACAATGATACACAAACTGCGGTCCAAAGACACTGGTGGCACACAGCAGGGATGCATCTGTAGTTAAAATGATGCGTCCTCCTGATTCAGCATGTGAGCAGTGTTTAACACAAAATAGATTAGGAATATAAACGTAAGACATGAATTACAGATAAGGTAAATCCACGGCGAAACTAAATGAGTGCATATAGCGTTGCTTTGAAGACGCAACAAAAACAATGGAAACAAGAATGCTTGGACAAGACCTGAAACAATGACCGGTCTCCAGGTGGCAAAAGATTTATTTCCTATTCGGTAAAGAGTAAAATTTGAAGGAAAAATATGATTTTTGGAATGCAGTACCCAGATTGTAAATCATAATAAGAACTATCAGACTATATTTAGTTTTGAGTGTTAATTTAAAAAAGATCTTGCCGTGTCTCACATAAAATCCCATAAGACCAGTCAAGACCTGGACAGATAAATTATCTTGAAAACCAGCAGCGAGACCCTGCACTCGAATAAATCAGAGATGTGCAATTAATTAATTAATATTTTAGAAGCCAACTGAAGTGTTTGAGTTCAAAGCACAGCTTTCACAAATTACGATAATAAATATTAATAACATTCCTAACAGACTTCGTTCCTAAATGACCGTATTCTACTGCACGTCGAGCGTACATTGTGTATCCAGCTTAAACAAGTAATGTACACTGCCGGGACCTGCATTGCTTCTGCTTATAAATGACGTCTACCTAACGAAATATCCATTAATACAGTGTGTTAAATTCCACTCGGCACGAAATTAACGTGTGAATTTAAAGAGATAAATTAATTATAACACATAGTTTTCCTCATACACTTGTCATGTCTCAGAAAAAATTCAAAATTTGTAAAAATCATCATTAAACTGAATTAATGACTAAAATACCATACAAAAAGTAGTGGTGACTGATGTTTCTCTATTTTACTTTAAATTTATGAAATGGTTATTGACTTGTCTATTCTTGATCTACGATTGTGGTCTCTAGTTTACAGATTTAAAATGTTTTTTGGGACCAGAAACTTCTAAGTAGCATTTCATATTTTAAATTAATTGTAAATTACAAGATTTATTTAAAGAACGAATAACAGAAAAATGACAGACAGAACTGTGACTCTCAGAATTAATTGTAAGGTAGTGTAACTAGTACAATATTCTGAATTCAAAAGCGCAATGACTTACACGGAATTTGGAATGAGCCTTTATTTATTCTGCGGTTTCGAGATCATTTGAGTGGAAATCAATGGTACATAAGGAGGGCATACCTATATACAGGGATAATAAATAATGAGGTACAGAAACACAAGGACAATGAGGTAACTGTGTTCAGACGCATCGGAATAAGGAATAATGATTATAGATTTATAGTACTCATCTGTACACAATGCTGGAATTACATGAGGGACCAAGCCTTTAGTTATCTGTTATATGCCTGCTCTGGGAGTTGTTCTAGCACGTGAAAGTAAGAAAATTACGTTTACTTGAAACTCCCATTTTATCAAGTATGATACCTTTCAATGAGCCTATGTTTAAGACCAAATGCCAAAGAAGGAATTCTGTATAAGGCCTAGGAGAATTAAAACTAATCATTGTGTGTAAGCCTCCTATTTCTCACCTTCAAACAAAAGAAGCCAGGCGATTTAAGGAGGTTGAAACTTTGCCATGTAATCAATATAAAGAGGGAGCCTTAATTCATTAAAACCTGAAACCAGAATGTCAAAATGTGTGTTACGTTCTAGACACGCCTCAACCCATACACGAAATATTGAAAGGACATGCTAGCTTGGGATAAAGATGAAGGTATAAAATGACGTTGGATGCAAGAGGAAACCTTCTGCTATTTTATTATAAAACTGTGGCTTGTGCGGATTTTGGGGTCTTGGAGAAAAGGGAAGGAAGGGTGGATGAGGAGGAAAGAAGGGTGAGTACGCTTGGGCCTATATTGGTCTCTTACAGCAGAACCGCCTACCAGCCCTGTGTGTGCGTGTGTGTGTGTGTCCGCCACAGATTCAGACTCCTAATTAAGACAAGGGGAAGGGGAGAAGAGGAACCAAGGGGGAGGCAAAGGAAGGGATATTGATCACGAAGCCAGAGGGAAGAGAGAGAAGCTGTCTGGATGTGGGGTGGCAAGAGAAGGAGTAATTTTCTCGGCCGACAAGGACCACCACGTCCTACAGTCATGTGTATGCATGCTTCATGTGTGATTTTACATGCCCTCCGTCAAGAAAAGTAGGGTCGTTTGTTAGATTCGTGCATGGGAAAGACGGCGAAACCAGGATAATGAAAGGTGAAGATTGTTTAACATCTCACTCTTTTGTTCGGAGACTAATTGTCGTTGTTATAAACAAAGGGCGGTGCTAATTTGCAATTTTACTGAAGCAACTGAGAAAATCGTAGGGAAAAGTGTTTGCCGGGCTTTCGGTAGCATGTAAAGCCCACGTGTTCAGGCAAACATTCAACCTGTAAGAGCAGACAGCGTTAGACGTGAAGCATCACGCTCAGTTCTGCAGTTAGATTAACAGAGGTTTAGGGAATAAACGAAGAACAGCTCACTTAAAATTACGAGAGACATGATGTACATTAATGTATTCAAATGACAAATAATCAATCAAAATTTTATATATTGTTAGATATTGCGTTTAATGTTGTGATAAACTGCCCTAATTCTTTCTAAATCTCAACATAGCTTGTCTCTGTATTGCTTATGTCTTTGTTCTAAATATTACTGTATATGCTTCTTTATCTGCTAACCCGACATTTTTTTAATATAACGTAAAAACAAGAGTAACACAGCAAAATTTTATAAGGATTTGAGGTTTTTACGGCGGTGAGTCTGAAGATACCTGTCTTCTGGGTAGTAGACGTTTACCGATATTTCAGCTATCCTTGCGATATCCATCGTCCTGATGATGGAAGCAGCAAAGACCTCCGAAACGTCGGAAAACTTCTACCAGACTACACGGCGCAACAACTCAGACGACAGCCGTCTTCATCATTTTATAAGAATGAATTTCCATATGATTTTAACTGAGAAGCTGACGCATTATCATTCACGAACAAAAGATATATTCTGACCTCCGTAGACTAGATCCAAGCCTGTTCCAACTTCACAGCAGCCTTTTCAATAGGTTTATCCATGTATCCCTTTGGTTTGAACCGAGTAGTAGATGTGCAGGGTCTTGGTACTCTCTTTTTTTATTAAGGTAGGAAACTTCCTTCTTCTGCAGACGTTAATATTTCTAGTTATCAAATAAATATTTAATTACCTCTCATATACACTTTATCGCCTTCCACCTAGTCTAGTACTTTACTCCTCTGAACTCCTAAAATATTCCATTTCTGATGTCTGAATTTTGTTAAACATTATTGTAATTTAAGTGTCATTACAATTTAAATGATGGAATTGCCAATGCTTTATAAAATTAAAGCAAATGAATTATATAAGGATATGCATGCAATAGCTTAGTAATTGTTGAAGAATTTAATTACAAAATATGCAGATAATTAATTAGAAAACAATTATACAAGACATTTTTCGAAATAATATATCAATTAAATCGCCTTTATAACCAAGGGTATGATAATGCACTGCTTGGTCATGGCTAATGTACACTTCGTGGGGCGGTGATAAATGAGTACTGGGCAATGGTAGAATGATTAGTAAGAGAAAATCGAAGAACTCGGAGACAAACCATCTGCTGTGCGATTTTGTACCATGAATCTCATCTGAGGTAATCAGGGATTGAATCCGTGTCTGAGAGGTGAGTAACCAGCACCTAACCGCCTGAGCTATATCTATGGCACAAACTCGATATTAACAAAATTTGAGAAAAACTGATTCATATTACTGTGCAGTTTAATACTGTACCACGGACCACCTACTGCACTGTGCATTAGCTTTGTCAGCAAAACAGGATCTCTGCTGTTTCATTATTGTGCTGCTGATGAACTTTAAGACAATTATATCGATAGTAAATGAAAATCAACTACGCATTCAAAATTGCAAAGAACGCATTCACAAATACGTGTAGAGTCTTTCCACTCTCGTTAACACAAACTCAGTGGCTTAGTTATTAACACTGGCTTTTGATGCGGAGGATTTGATATTCTCACCTGTTGATGGTTATCTTCTGGGTTGTCGCGCCGTGATGATAGAGGCAGCAAGGACCTCTGAAACGTCGGTTAACTTATACCAGACTACACGGCGCTACAACCCAGAAGGCAACCATCTTCAGACACTCAGCCGTCAAAACCTCAAATCCTACATTATCACCTGTTATAGTTTG